AAAAAAAAAAAAGAAAGAAAGAAAAGAAAGAATCTATTCCTTCCCCTGTTCCCTTCCTTCACTGGCCTCTTCCTCTGCTTTGTTTTGTTTTGTTTCTCCCTTTCTCCTTCTTTCCTTTCCTTTTGCCCTGTGTACTCATTCGAAAAGGCTCCATGCACTTTCTATTGAAGGTATTAGTTAATACACCTCACTTAACATGCGTGATAAGTCTTAAGTGAAACTGTGTTAGGTATTTATAATTGTTATTCTATTTCCAATTCCACAACTCAATCCCTAACTGAAGCGATATGGAAGTCGTTATTTTGCACATTTGATGAACTCAGTTGGTTCCCGCAATGAGGAAGACTTGGCGCCTGACCTGTGGGAGAGGGAGGTGAGAAGGTGAATGAATCATGGTCCGTGGCCTTTAGAAGCGTGGAGTCTTCTAGAAGACAAGGCCTATCTGGAAATCCTCCATTAGGCCTTTTGGCAACTATTTCTCCCCTTTGTGCAGGTCTTGACTGAGCACAGCACTACTAATATTAATTTGGAAGGAGAAAATGGAAACACTGCAGTGATGATCACATGCGCCAAAGATAACAGTGAAGCCCTGGAGATGTTGGTTTGTATATGAATTCATTTTGCCACTTTCCTTATCTTTTCCTAAATAGAGCATGAACTCCTCTTATTTATATTAGCACTTCATCTTCTCTCCTTAGCAAAAAATAAAATACAGAAAGTAGGCATGAAAAACTTAGTTCTCTATGATTTATGTATCTCTGTGCCTCTTGGATCCTAAATGCTCCTGACATTGCTTAGAAAAGACTAGTGATAAAGTAGGGAAAAAATGTGAGAAAAAATCAAAGAGGAAAGAAAATACAGACAGGGAAAATTAAGATGACACTGATGAGCAAGGTACAATACAAAATACAAAGTATAACAGACTATATGTTCATAAATATTAAATCATCCATTTGACTCTTAGCTTCTTCATGGTCAAAGGAAAGATGAATATATACAAGGTATGAACAAAAGATGTGGTAAAAGGTATATTTAAATTAAAAAATTATTATACTAACATACATATTAACCTTAATCCCCCTCAAAATTCTCACCTTCACTTTGAGCCCTTGTCCCATCAATTCTTGCTGATTCCTGAGGCATTTCTGGAAGTCCTCTTTCTCCAGTGTTGATCATTGTTTGAGGTGACTGCCTCAGTGTTCTAAACAGATTCAAAATGTTTCCAATTCATGGTCATTTTGATTTCTTGGATCAGCCAGTTCTCTCATGCAAGATTAGAAAGTGAGGTCACTGAGGACCCACTGTAATATTTACACAAGCCTGCCTTCCTGTTCAACACTACTGCATAGCATTTACTGTACTTTTTATCATACCTCTTGAAAACTCACAAAAGAGGACTCGGAGAACTGCTTCACAAAGTAACAAGAACAAGGGAATAAATTTGCTCAGAACAATGGATAGTATTATGAAGGAGATTTACACCAATGCATTTTTTTTACTGTAATGTTTTTTTAAACCTTCAACATTCACTGTAGCTTTGATCAGCCCTTGTAGTCAACAGCAGACTTACTTGACCTTTAAGACTGAAGATGAAGAAGGCAGTTGTTCCCACTCCTAGGACTAGCAGAAATTATTGACATGGTTTTTGAAAAGTGAAGTCATCTGTGCTTTGATTGCTGAAAAGAATTAGCCACACCCTGAGCAAATGGCCAGCCTGGTCTGGAAAGGATTCCAGAGTGCCGAAGGCTCTTGCATCAGGGCTTCCTTCTCCTCACCCTGCAGTGCTTTCCTCATTACACTGCCAGCATTCCAGCCAACGGTTTCTCTCAAGTTGTCCAAGACTATTTGCATGCTATCTAGGCCAGTATTTTTTTTCCACTTGATTTTCACCTTTCCATCATCCTAGCAAGTAGGAAAATGGCATAAAAATTTTAAAAAAATATTTCCTGGTATTTATATATAAAATTGTGTGCTAATATCTTTACTGTCTGTATTTAGAGACAGCTACATATCGATAGGCTGACATAACTGGAACAAAAGAGAATAATTAATAATGCAAATAAAAATAAATTAATACTGAAATTCAGAACTTAGAAAAATAACTTTACATAAGCCAAAACAAAATTATAATAAAGTTGAATGTATTTTAGAAAATAATGTATATCTTTTTTCTTTGTAAATATAACTTTTGTATGTTTACTGTGTAATTGTACTGCTCAAAAATGCTTGTAATAAATAATGTATTCTTAGCAATGATGATTTTATGAAGTACATCTCACAATTTTTTTTTCTTCCCCACTACTCCAGTTAAAAAAGGGAGCTAAGCTGTGTAGACCAAATAAATGGGGAGATTTTCCTGTCCACCAGGCTGCATTTTCAGGGTCCAGAAAATGCATGGAATTAATATTAAAGTTCGGTGAGTGAAGGATTTCTTACCTCCTGTCTGATAAAGAATCGTGTTTTTATAGGTGCTATTAATTTGCAAAGTATTTAAGGGAACTTATCAAAGCTTTTGTGTAAATCTAAACATCATTTCCTTTGCAAATCTATTCCTTCCTGTAACTGTCCCCCATTGATACTGTCTTCTAAAGGTGAGCAGGCCGGGCACAGCAGGCAGTCTCACATTAACTTTGTGAATAACAAGGAAGCCAGCCCACTCCACCTGGCAGTCCAAAGTGGCAACTTGGAAATGATTAAAATGTGTCTCGACAATGGTGCTCACATTGAGAAGACAGAGGTAAATCCTCCTATTCTACCTTTATTGTGGGATTGTAATACATTCTTTTCCAAAATACCTTCTGGATCCTTTATAGTCACCTTAGATAGAAAATACATATAGCAAAAAATGAATGTTATTTCCTTTCGTTCATGCAGAAGAAAATATCCCAAGTTTTATGTTAGCAAATTTCAACACACCAATAGCAATTGTGAATACAGACACTGTTAAACTATATTTCATTTAACTGGCATTAAATAAGTCAAAGCCTACCCTCCAAGCAGCATACTAATTTTGTCTATGAGTAGGAAAGTGCAATTTTGTATTCTAGAGTTATATCTTCTTTTTTTTTTTTTGTGGTACCAGGGATTGAACTCAGGACCCTGTGCTTGCCAGGCAAGCACTTATTCTACTGAATTATCTCCACAGGTCTAAAAAGTTGTATCTTTTAACTAATTTTTAAGGCTATGTATGTGAAAGTGCTTACCAACTGACCATATGCCAATTTATCTGACTAAACACATAGACGCTATGCCCTTTTCCCCTTAATGTCTGGGCCCTTACATTCTTGGGAGAAAATATGGTTACCTAGATAATGAAAATAAGAGATGTCTGATTCCAGTGAAGCACAGTCACTAGCCCTGAATTTTGTTCTGATGCTTTTTAATAGATGAAACTCAGCACTATTCATCATTTTAAGTCTGACATTTCTTGATTCTGGGGGAAGAAAATCTCATAGCCGCATATAAATTATAACCTTAAATTAAAATTTAAACTCTGATTCTGGAATCAAACTTCTTTATAGAATGGGAAGTGCATGGCTTTGCATTTTGCCGCAACCCAAGGAGCCACTGAGATTGTTAAATTGATGATATCGTCATATTCTGGTAGCAGTGACATTGTTAATGCAGTTGATGGGAATCATGAGACCCTGCTTCACAGGCAAGTTTCCTACCAATCATTTTGTATAAAAATTTTAGTCTATACATGTTAAGTTGTGAGTTCCAAAAAAAAAAAAAAAAAATTGTATGCTTGCAAAGATTCTGTAGTTGGAAAAAGAAAAACAGAAAATAAAGACTTGTAGTACAACTGAAATTTTTGCTGTTTGGGAATCTGAGTAGAATGTTCAGTAGACCTTTACAAGAAATCTCTATTGCATGTTCTGGATTAGTTCTTCATTGACTCAAAAGTGGCTTCCTATGTGATAAGGAAGGCAACATACAAGGCTTTCCAAGCCACTTAAAATCTGTTCTAATTCTTCAAGTGTGACTTATTCCCATGTTTAGTGAAGACAGTGGATATCTTCAATGGATATCCCACTGTTTCCCATCTAATCTCTTCTGCCTACACCCAGAATTATAGATTAATATGTGAAAAATACAACTTTAAGAATTCATGAGCAGCTCTCCAAAAAGATATATTTATTTGTAGGGCATAACAGAAACATGTACGGGAAAAGTGTCTTAAATGCATACTTACTATGTCTGGGACAGGCAGTGAAGAGTTGGAGTTAAAGGTCTTGGGAAGACAAGGACCATCTGAGTGAAAGAGATTGGCTGAAATGAATTCTCTCTCTGTCTCTGTCTGTCTGTCTGTCTG